TACCACACACCAGTAATCCCAGGTATTTGGGAGGTGGACATCAAGGAGGATCAAGGCTGCAGGAATCTCAATAGATAATTCATGCATGCATAGCATTCCTGGTATGCGGGGAGGGTTCTAGACCAAAATATGAGACCTTATCTGAAAAATAAAGCCAAAGAGGTGACTGAGTGGTAGAGGGCCTCTCAGGCAAGCATGAGTTCAAATTCCTGTACTGGGGGCTGGGAAGGTGGCTCAGTGGTAGAGCACTTGCCTTGCATGCATGAGGCCCTGGGTTCCATTCCTCAGCACCACATTGGCAGAAAAAATAGGAAGTGGTGCTGTGGCTCAAGTGGTAGAGTGCTAGCCTTGTGCTGAAGAGCTGAGGGACAGCGCCCAGGCCCAGAGTTCAGGCCCCACAACCAACAACAACAACAACAAAAACAAATTCCTGTACTGTCAGGGAAAATAAATAAACCACTTACCACTGAAAACCCATTTAAAAGCAGGGCATGGGGCTGGGAAGGTGGCTCAGTGGTAGAGTGCTTGCCTTGCATGCATGAGGCCCTGGGTTCCATTCCTCAGCACCACATTGGCAGAAAAAATAGGAAGTGGTGCTGTGGCTGAAGTGGTAGAGCGCTAGCCTTGTGCTGAAGAGCTGAGGGACAGGGCCCAGGCCCAGAGTTCAGGCCCCACAACCACCACCACCAACAACAACAACAAAAACAAATTCCTATACTGTCAGGGAAAATAAATAAACCACTTACCACTGAAAACCCATTTAAAAGCAGGGCATGGGGCTGGGAAGGTGGCTCAGTGGTAGAGTGCTTGCCTCGCATACATGAGGCCCTGGGTTCGATTCCTCAGCGCTACATAAGCAGAAAAAGCCGGAAGTGGCGCTGTGGTTCAAGGGGTAGAGAGCTAGCCTTGAGCTGAAGAGCTGAGGGACAATGCTCAGGCCTAGAGTTCAGGCCCCACACTGACCAAAAAAAATTTTTTAAAAAGCAGGGCATGGTACTATATGCCTATAGTCCCAATATTAGGGAGGCTCAAGGTGGAGGATCTGGACTTTCAGGCTAGCCTTAGCTACGGACGACAACTAAAGCACAAACAACAAAAAATCAGAAACAGACAAAGTGTACTTCATCAAAATGAAAACAAGCTGGGTGCTGGTGGTTCACACCTGTAACGGTAGCTACTCAGGAGATTAAGATCTGAGCATCACGATTCAAAAGGAACACAGCAGGAAACAGCTGTCACTCAAGTGTGAGAGCACTAACCTTGAGTACAAAAGTGCAGGGACAGTGCCCAGGCCCTGAGCTAAAGCCTCAGGACGGACACACGGACGGACACAGACACACACACACATACAGACACACACACACACACACACACACGAACTGAGCACCGGTGACTCAGGCCTGTCATCCTAGCTACTCAGGAGGCTGAGATCTGAGGATCAAGGTTCAAAGCCAGCCAGTGGAGTCTAGGAGAGTCTTATTGGCAATAAACTACTCAGAAAAAGCTGGAAGTGGCGCTGTGGCTCAAATGGTAAAGTGCTAGCCTTGAGCAAAAAGCTCAGAGATAGTGCCCAGGCCCAGAGTTCAAGCCCCAGTGGCACACAAAAACAAAGAAACCAAACACTGGATCATTTTGACACCACAGTATTAGTTAAAAAGAAATCAATCTAGGTGAGACCAATAAATCAGGAACTGTACTGTTCTTATCACGAAGAAGTGGTGAGTGTCTGGCTAGCATGCACAAGACCTGGGCTTGATCCCAGCACTGCCAAAGAAGAGAGGGAGGGAGGGAGGGAGGAGAGGAAGAGGGCGGGGAGAGAAAAAAGAAAAAAAAAAAACAAAAAACATGGCCTGGTGCTGGTGGCTCACACCTGCCATCCTAGCTACTCAGGAGGCTGAGATCTGAGGATCGCTGTTCAAAGCCAGCCCGGGCAAGAAAGTCTGTGAGACTTATCACCAAGGAACCACGAGAAAACTGGAAGTGGTGTTGTGGTTCAAGTGGTAGAGCACTGGTCTTGAGCTGAAGAACTCAAGGACAGTGCCCAGGCCCAGAGTTCAAGCCCCACAATCAACCCCCCCTTACTCCCCCCCCCAAAAAAAACGTGTGTGTGTATATACCCAGAGTTCCTTAACCCACTCTTACCAGCACCTCAGCAACTACATCAAGGTTGTATGCAAAAATGTTACCACATATTCTCACTTGGCTCCTAGTCCTAGTCATGTGACTGTGGGCAAATAACCACCAGTAACTGGCCTGGGTGCTTCAATCTATAAATCCAAAGAAAAACCTTAGTCCGGCCTTCTTATCAGGTCTGTTAGCAACAAGACCAGATAAGAACATCCTGGCTGGTGATATTATTGACTCAGTTAACTCTGAAAATGCTTGTCTTTAATAAAGAAAAATAAACATTGGAGTTATTGAGAAAAATAGGGGCCCCAAGTATTTCTGTCTCCCTTTCTTCCTTCCCTCTCTTCCATAAAGCCAGCTGCCTCTAACACCAGATATACTTTGTAGCAGGATACAATTACAAAACATTAAGGGTGTGATTAATGCCACTGAATTATGCATAAAGGTTCACTTTACCCCACATTTGAAATATACTGGGAAGACAAAACATTTTTTTTTTTTTTTGGCCAGTCCTGGGGCTTGAACTCAGGGCCTGGGCAAGAAAAAAAAATTAAACACAAAACAAGGACCTACTTACAACTCATTAAGAATTCCTCTTTCGGGCTGGGAAGGTGGCTCAGTGGTAGAGCGCTTGCCTTGCACGCATGAGGCCCTTGGTTCGATTCCTCAGCACCACATAAGCAGAAAAAGCCAGAAGTGGTACTGTGGCTCAAGTGGTAGAGTGCTAGGCTTGAGCTGAAGAGCTGAGGGCAGCATCCACAACTGACCAAAAAAAAAAAAGACAAAAAAAAAAATAATAATTCCTCTTTCTAAGCCAGGTGCTGGTGGCTCATGCCAGTAATTCTAGCTACTCAGGAGGCTGAGATCTGAGGATCACAGGTCAAAACCAGCCTGGGCAGGAAAAGTCCGTGTGAGACTCTTATCTTTAAAGAACCACCAGGAAACCAGAAGTGGAACTGTGACTCAAAATAGTAAAGCACTGGGCTGGGAAGGTGGCTCAGGGGTAGACCGCTTGCCTTGCATGCATGAGGCCCTGGGTTCTATTCCTCAGCACCACATAAGCAAAAAGAAAAAGCCAGAAGTGGCGCTGTGGCTCAAGTGGTAGAGTGCTAGCCTTGAGCTGAAGAGCTGAGGGACAGCACCCAGGCCCAGAGTTCAGACCCCACAACCGGACCCCCCCCCCCCAAAAAAAAATAGTAAAGCACTAACAGGGACACTGCCCACACGTTGAGTATAAGCCCTACTACACAAACACACACACACACACACACACACACACACACACACACACAGAATTCCACTTCTTAAAGGTCAGTTTTCATAAGAACCTGTCACATCTCTTCCCATGGGTGATAGGTCAGAGAATAGTATGTTACTTCCTTGTATTCAAACCCAACCCCAATGATCTGGGCTTAAATCCAAGCGAATAATTCCAAGGGACTGGTTAGTGTTTAAAAGGCAGAGCCTGAGCTTCCCAGAGCCAGGCAGTCTGGGGGTGAAATGTGGGATGGATTCGCTCTTGAGTATGCCAGCCAGCAAGAGCCCATGGGGCCAGTTCCATCTTTCAGCCGTGCAGAAAGGAAAACTGAGGCCGGCCTGGGACTGACCAGCTTTGCTGGATTTTGTTGTGGTTGTTTGGGTTCTTTCCTTTCTCTTTCTTCCCTTTCTTTCTCTCTTTCGAAAAGCTTTTTTATAAAGTGGAGCTTGCATTTCTTTTTTTTTTGGGGGGGAAGGGGGGGGTCAATTGTGAGGCCTGAACTCAGGGCCTAGGCACTGTCCCTGAATTCTTCATCTCAATGCTAGCACTCTACCACTTGAGCCACAGCCCCACTTCTGGTATTGTGGTGGTTCATTGGAAATACAGAGTCTCACGGACTTTCCTGCCCGGGCTGGCTTTGAACCGTGATCCTCAGATCTCAGCCTTCTGAGTAGCTAATGTGACAGGCCTGAGCCACTGGCTCCCGGCTTAGACATTTAATGTTTAATTTTTGTACTGGGTAGAGTGAAAGACATAGCTCTTGCACCTGAATCAACAAAACCTCCACCCTCTGTGGTCTCTAGAGTCCTTTCATACAGATTATTATTTTATTGGCTCACCAAAATAACCATGAAAAGTGGATGTGTAGGAGTTGTTATTCCCCCACTGGACGGATGAACAAACGTCCCTTTCTTAGCTGGGAAGGTTGAGGAGTGAAAGAGTGTACCAAGTCTAATCCCCACTTCACATTAAAGTTGAGGGGGGGGGGAGAGGGAGGGAGGGAGGAGGGGGGGGGTCTGGGCATGGGGTATGATGCATATTAAGTGACAGGGCCAAGGTGTAAACACAACAGGTGTCTACCTGACAATTCTCCTTTCCTCTCCACTTTACGTTGGCTAAATCCACTTTTGATGGAAAAAAAAGACAATCAGGACAAATTAGTTAACTGCCCCGTTCTATTCCCGAGAAGCCGTCTGGGGAAACAAATTCTGTGCATTCAGATCAGTCACATGCAAAGGTGCCCAACGCACGCTGGCAGATAGGAAAGAAAAAAAGTTCTGAAACTTTTTTCCTGGGGGGATTGGTGGGCAGTGAAGGACCAGCGGGGCCAACCAGACAACGGAACGATTCTCGCCTGCTCCAACAAGCATCCAAAAAGAACTAGAGGCGGACTAAACGCGCGACACACAGCGACGCCCACCCGCGCGCATGCGCGCTGCCCATGCCAGCGCTAGTTAAGTCCCACGCCGTCGCTCTACGCATGCTCCGCCTTGTACACATGCGCACTTAAGCGGATGTATTTTTCCCCCCTCCCCTTCTCATCTCCAGCCCTCCGGCCCTGAGCCCTGAGCCGCAGACCGCCTCGCCCAGCGTCCCTCGCTTCCACGTTCCTCACCTTACGCCCCGTTTTCTCCCGTAGGGCTTTCAGCCGTTCTTTTCTCCGTCGCGCTTCTTCCTCGAGGCGGCCCACACCCGCCGGGGCAGCCGCCATCTTGCCTGCTCTACTTCCTCCCCCCCCCACCCTCTTACTTTTCCCGGGTTCCGTAGTGCGCATGCCCGGAAAGAGAAGTCTCCCAGCCAATCCAAAGGCGAGGATGAGAGAGTCGCGGGTAGCCAATCCAGGATGAGTTCTTCGAGGAAGGCCCGCCCCTTGGCTGGGAGGCTCCAATCAGCGCGCTCGTGGTGAAGCCGCCCCCCCCCCCCCCCAGGGAGAAGACGCTGAGAATGGAGTCGGATGAGAGAAGGGGATTGGGGTTGCGAGTTCGAGGCCAGCCTGGGGCTTCCCCGGCAGGTTCCAAGCTGCACAGTGAGACCTGGTTTTCTTTCGTTTTGTTTGCCTGCCCTCGCTCCCCACCCGCACCCCGTTTTGATGTGAAGTCTCACCACCACCCCCTTTTCTCCACAGCTGGCTGTCAGTGGCTGCTCAAGGTTTCACCTCGCTAGGCCTGAACCTGAGCACAGACGAAAGGAGACCTGGCTGCATGGCCCTTCTCTGGGTTTACAGAGGACACCCCCAAATTATAACCTCATCCCTTTTGAGGAATGGCCCAAGTACTCAAGAGTCAGGCCTCACCAGTCCTGGGTTAAAGAACAAATGCCAACAACCTAGACCACGGGATGGGGTGGGGTGAGGTGGGGCGATGTCAAGGAACCATTCCACCACCCCAAGTTAGGGCTAACCTCTTCACTGCGGGAGGTTAATCACATCTCCCCCGAGATTCCAGGATCTTCTGTTCTGGTTTGGATAAGCAGCTGATGTCAAGTTCTTCTATAGCTGATGTCAAGTTCTTCCAGTATGGAGAGGTCCCCCAAAACCCCACACCTCAGGGATTAGGCTCGCCCCTCCCTTCTCCCCACACCATCCATCCCTACACCCTTGCACCAAGGGGAGCCAATAGTTTCAAGTCTTTCTCAGCCTAGGGGGGGCTTCTTGTAGAAGGTTGGCCTAAGTGGACAAATGGGACACCCACTCCACCCTCCCCCAATCCCTTCAACTGCCCAATTTCTACACATTTCCCTTCCTGATCCAACCCTGTTACCCACTCTGTGTCTACACACTTCCCCCCCCTTCCACACCCCTCTCCCACACAGTGGGTCTACAACCTACCAGGGCAAGGTTATAGATGATCAGAGCTACAATGGACAGGGAAGAAGAAAAGGCCAGATTCGAGGGGCCACCCAAACCATGGGGACAAAACAGGCCAGGGATAGAATAATATCTGTTCTTCTTTTGGCCACCAAAGATCTAGGAAGACTCCAGATTGGTTAATTCTTAGAAGCCAGACACCTCTCTGGGCTTTGCACACTCCTTCCCCACAACAGAAGGCTACACACACACACACACACACATACCTGTGATAGTGACAATGACCCAGTAAAGGCTAAGTTCAACCTCACTACCCTGCCCCTGCTGACCTCTGTGTGACTCATTTGGACCTCAGTTTCTCCATCTGTAAAATAGGCTGGAGGCACCCACTTCATGAGGTTAAAAAAACAAAAGACAAAAAAGCAAGTGTTCTGCCCTTAAGTGAAGGCTTCCTGAAGGAGGAGGCCATCCGTGGGGCTCATCTAAACTAAAGCCAATACAAGTGCTCTGCCCTTCTGAGGGTATTGGAGGCGGGGGGGGGGAGCTTTGTGGATTCACCAAGTTGGCTAATTCCCTCCCACTGCCCCAACATAGCAGGCTTTAAAGTCCCAGGTATAGGACTGGGAATGTGGCTTAGTGGTAGAGTGCTTGCCTTGCATGCACAAGGCCCTGGGTTCGATTCCTCAGCACCACATGAGCAGAAAAAGCTGGAAGTGGCGCTGTGGCTCAAGTAGTAGAGCACTAGCTTTGAGCTGAAGAGCTGAGGGACAGCACCCAGGCTCAGAGTTCAGGCTCCACGACTGACAAAAAAAAAAAAAGCCATGGCATCAGTGGCTTATACCTGTAATTCCTAACTATAGAAGAGGCTGAGATCTGACAATCACAATTCACAGCCAGCTCAGGGAAAGAAAGTCTAGAATACTCAAAACAAACAAACAAAAAGCGGGAGCTGGGAGCTGGATGCCAGTGGTTCAAACCTGCAATCCTAACTGCTAAGGAGGCTGAGATCTGAGGATCGTGGTTCAAAGCCAGCCTAGGTAAGACCGTCCGTGAGACTCATCTCCAACGAACCACCAGAAAACTGGAAGTGGTGCTGTGGCTCAAGTGGTAGAGCACTCTCCTTGAGCTGAAGTTCTGAGGGACAGTGCCCAGGCCCAGAGTTCAAGCCCTATGACCAACCAAAAAATTAATTAATTAAAAGCAGGGAGTGGAGCTATGGCTCAAACAGCATGAACACTAACTTTAGGGGTGGGGTAGGGAGAAAAGAAAAGCCAAGGGACGGCATGTAGGCCCTTGAGTAGGCCCTAATACTGTCACACACACACACACATACACACACACACACACACACACACACGCTCCTTGAATTACACGCAGCACCCTGGCCCAGGCTGCGTGAGATCTGAGGACTCTCAGGAGTCCCAACCCCAGCCCCTGGGTAGCAGAGTCGGGGAGACGGTTTAAAAATCTCCCCGTGGACCACCAGAGATGCCAGGAGTGGTGGACCCTGTGGCTCAAGGTAGAGACCTGGAGCCAAAAAGAGCTGGGGAGAGGGGAGAGAGTGCCCCAAGGCCCCTTGAATTCAAAATCCACAGCCCCCCAGCCCCCCAGGAAAAAAAAAAACAACCTTTATATTTACCCCCTGATGAAGATGGCTCAAGACCTTAACCAATAATGGGTCCTCCCTGGGGGTGATCCTGAAGACTTGACCCATGGCCTTACCCCACTTAACCCCTCACGGGATCCCCCAGGGCAGGTGTGGAAGCCTTGATCCCCCTCCCCAACCCCACCCCACCCCCAAATACCCCAGGGTGCCCCAGAAGCGCAGGTAGCTGGGGGTGTGGTGTGGGGGGGGAGGGGGGAATGGGGGGGGCGGGGCCGGCTCCCTGGGGCCTCTCTGACCTCAGGCTCCTCCCCCTCCTCCTCCTCCCCCTCCCTCCTCCCCCCTCCTCCCTCCTCCGGGCTCCCCGCCCCGTGCACGGTCCCGGGAGAGGCGGGGCGGCGGTGGCACCGGGTGCAGGAAGCCGGGGCGCAGCGGGCGCGGGCGGTGGCCGCCCGGGAGGAGGAGGAGGAGGAGAGGGTGGGGAGGAGGGGGGTGTGGGGTGTGTGGGGGGGGGGGGGAGGAGGGAGGGAAGCCGGGGAGCCTCACGGATTTCCTCCGGGACCAGCCGCGGGTTTACTCCGCCCCATGGGCCTGGCCCCGGGAGCGCCCGGCGGGCGGCGCGGAGGAGGCGGCGACAGGTGGCGGCGAGGCCGGAGCCGGGTCGGGCCATGGCCGCCTCGGAGCGGCTCTACGAGCTGTGGCTGCTTTACTACGCGCAGGTGAGTCCTCCCCCTCCTCCTCCTCTTCCTCCTCCTCCTCCCCCTGCACCTGCGCCCCCCCCCCATGGATCGGTGCGTGTACCCCCCCCCACACGTGTGTCCACCCCCATCCACGCCCTTCCTCCTCCCCAAGACTTCACCCAATGCCTCTGGCACTTTCTACACCTAGAGATGGGGGGGACACACAGGGGGAGGCCTCAGGATGAGTGGGATCTCTGGGCTGGGGAAACTGAGGCAGAGCGAGAGAGAGCGCAGGTGGCGTGGGGAGGGTGTAGGGGGGGGAGAAAGGGGGAGGGACAGTCGGGTCAGGTGCATGGCTTCCTGCAGGGCTGACTCGGGGGAAGTCGACCCGACACCCCAACAGCACCCAACTCTCCCACCCCAACTCCAGACTCTCCCCCCCCCTTCTCTGCAGTAGCAGAGAAGATGAGTTCCTTCTGTACTTGGACTGGGGACGGGGGACGGGGTTGGGGAGAGTGTCTGGGTCTGTGTGTGTAAAGGGAGGGGGGGGGGAGTGTGAATTCCCACCAGTCTTTTTTTGGGGAGGTTGGGTGGGGGGAGACCTCCCCCTCCCCAGAAGGTGACTCTTGGTGTGTCTGATCTAGTATTCCCTCCTTCTCCCCCCCCCCCTACTCTCCGGCCCCCAAACTGTGCCTTGTGCTTTACTTAACCCCCACTTTTCCATCAGGAGAGGGAAGGGCCTCCCTCCCCTGCCTGTCTTTCCCCGGGGTCACCTGCCCGGCTCGGGGCTGAGGTCCTGGCTCAGGTGTGTCCTGCACACAATGGACTATTGTGTACCCCTTGAACAGCTTGTCGCTGGGGAAGAGCAGGCTGAGCCCCAGCTGGCCCTTGGCAGCAGCCGCTTAGCCCATGGTCTCCTGGGGACCCAAAGCGCAAGCCGCAGGGGCCACCCGCAGCTTCTTTTCCTCTGCTCAAGTTCTCCCAGGTCCTGAGGTTCCCCCTCCCCCCCAACCTGACCTGTGGCAGGAGGCCGGGCATGAAAATAGAGTTCCTCAAGCCGGGCTTCAGTGGCTCCCACCTGTCATCCTAGCTCCTCAGGAGGCTGAGAGCTGAGGATCGTGGTTCAAAGCCAGCCCTGGTAGGAAAAGTCCATGAGATTCTGATCTCCAAGGAACCACCAGAAAACTGGAAGTGGCACTGTGGCTCAAATGGTAGAGCGCTTGCCTTGAGCTGAAGAGCTCAGAAATAGAGCCCAGGCCCTGAGTTCAAGCCCCACCAACCTAAAGAAAAAAGAAAATAGAATTCCTCCTGATGATACCCAGACAGAGCTGTAAAACTGACATAGCTCTGACCACTACCGCTCTATAGAGAGGCAGCCACTAGACCTAGTCCAGTCCAGAAAAGGCTCCTGACTTGTTTCTCTGAACCAATCAGATTCCCTCTCCCAGCTTCTCTGCTTGTGTACCCAAGAGTTGGTTCTTATGAATGAGCAAAAGGGTCTGTGTGTGTGTGTGTGTGTGGTGTGTGTGTGTGCATGCACACGCGTGTGCTCTGGGACTGAGGCTTGAACTCAGGGCCAGGATGCTATCACTTATTTTCCTCACTGAAGACTGGTGTTCTACCACTTGAGCCACACCCC